CGCGCTCGTGCTGCGTTCTATCAGGGGCTTCGATTCCCGTAAAAAAAAAGACGATGACGCACTCTCTACTCGAGCTTCCCTTCACTCTCACAGCGACTGCCGCCCTGAATTACGCTAGCCCTTTGCCTAAGCTCAATGTAGCCATGGGTGATCCAGATGGTGGTGTGGAATCGCTGTCTTTCAACTGCTGTTTGTTACATTAAGTCTGCTGTAGTGTGTGTTGTCGATCAGGGTTAGGCAAACACCGGGTGAAATCGCACAACCTTCCAAGAAGTACGGGCTTATGGTTTGATCTTGGGAAAAATAAACGACGGCGGCATAAGTGACAGTGTGAGAGCGAGAGGGATTAAGTCCGATGATGCGTCGTCTCCACGGTGGCATGAAGGCGCGAGTCCCAGACAATGGGACATGTCAGGATATGTCAAGTTTAACGACTCCCAGGTAAGGTGAATACTGCCTTGTTGCCTTTGCCCACTCACTATCTCCATTTGAGCAACGAGCTAGCTCAACGGATAGAAAACTTACCAATCGCCAATGCCGCCGCCGCCTCTGCCAACGAGTAGAACGCCTCCGTTGAGAGGATACAAACCAGGCGAATTTCATGGCCTTGCGCAATCGTGCACGCCGCCAACACCAGGACTGGTTCGACGACAACGAAGCTGCATTCAGCAATTTGCTCGCCGAGAAGAAACGCCTACATAAGGCATACGTAGATCACACCACTGACGACAACAAAGCTGCTTTCTACCGCAGTCGTCGTCACCTGAAGCAACGACTGCGCGAGATGCAGGACGCCTTGACTGCTAGCAAAGCTGAGGAGATCCTAGAGTACGCGGACCGCAACGAATGGAAGAACTTCTTCTCCGCGATCAAAGCTGTCTACGGTCCGCCGATGAAGGACACTGCTCCTCTCCTCAGCTCCGACAATATTATCCTCCTGACTGAGAAGACAGAAATTCTACAGCGATGGGCCGAACATTTCCGAGGCGTCCTCAACCGCCCCTCCACCATCTCCGACGCCGCCATAGACCGTTTACCACAAGTGGAGACCAACATGGACCTCGACCTTCCGCCATCTCTCCAGGAAACCATCATGGCCGTGCGGCAGCTCTCCAACGGGAAAGCACCCGGATCGGACGCAATCCCTGCTGAGGTCTACCAGAACGGAGGTCCCCAACTCATGGATCACCTGACTGCGCTCTTCCAGGAGATGTTGAGTCAAGGCGAAGTCCCACAAGACTTCAATTACGCAACCCTCCCGCATCTCTAAAAGCGAAATAGAACCACCAAGTTTACGACAATCACCGCGGAATCTCTCCGCTAAATATTGCTGGGAAGATCTTCGCTCGCATCCTCCTCAACCGCCTCAATAACCATCTGTAACAGGGCCTTCTGCCGGAAAGCCAATGCGGCTTCCGTCGTCATCGCAATACCATGGATATGATCTTCGCCGCCCATCAGCTTCAGGAGAAATGCCAGACGATGCGGACCCACTTGTACTCTACGTTAGTAGAACTGACGAATGCCTTCGACATGGTGAATCGTGAAGGACTGCGGAAGATCATGCGGAAATTCGGCTGTCCGGAGCAATTCATTGAGATGGTGCGTCAACTCCACGATGGCTTGATGGCGCGAGTCACGGACAACAGAGCTGTCTCAGAGGCATTCGCAGTGACCAACGGAGTGAAGCAGGGATGCGTGCTGGCGCCTACCCTCTTCAGTCTCATGTTCTCTGCCATGCTGATGGGCGCCTATCGTGATGAAAGAGAGCGAGAATTGAGAGCATAACCGACACACCCACCACATTTGACACATTCGCCGTGCCCAGCCGCACCCTCGCTTCATCGACCAGTTCGCCCATTACCACCGCAACCTCCTCCGTAGCCGACTCCGGCGCGACCGACTTCACCTACCCACACCGTCCACGCACATTCACCTCTCGCATTCGCATGGTCGGTCACTTGCGAATTCATCTCACAGAGACTGTGCCTGGAGCACCAACCTATACCCACCAAGCTCGACTCAACTGCCCACACTGCCCTCGCACCTTCACGCATCGCATGGGCCTATTCGGCCACATGCGCATTCACGACAACCTGCGGTGGACAACCGCCGGTTACACCACACATCTACACACTCCCTACCCTCCTTCACAATCACCAAAACACATCAACACGCACACATCGCAAGCACCCAACTTCCATCTCCCACGCATGTGGGAAGTGTGCATCTCGACACGGTCCCCACGCGGCTTAGGCTGCACGGGTGACTTGAGTCCGAGACTATCCCGACACGTCAAGCATCGTTGATAGGAAGGTTGCTGATTGACGCCTGATCACGGGCAACGCAGTTCGTCGCGTTATGTGTGTGTATGTGTGTTGTGTGTAGTGGCGGACTGGTGGGCTGGGAACGGGCTGAAACAGCACCTTCCACGGCACCCTCACGCAAGTGAGAGACACGCCGTTCAACCCCCGTTGTGTAAAATCCTGGTGTTTGTGTGTGTATGGGGGGCCAGGTCGTGCTGTGGCGCGCGCAGGCATGGTCAGTCGACCTGTCAGCTACCGCGCCCATTCCCCAACTCCAGTTTTTCGACCGGCTCGGACAGTGGCTGGGGTGTGGGAATGGGAAGGGAGAGTGAGGTCGTCGACTCAGCGCATTTTCCTCACTATAAACAATCTGACGCGCTTGAAGCTATCGCGGTGCGTTAAAAGCCGTGGCTTGGAAGGTTGCCAACTGACGGGGTACCTTGGACCTCCACCATTACTGGAGGCGGTCTGAGAGTCAGGCTGCAATGGCTTCTTTTTAATGTGGCCTTTATGGCATTCCCACCACAGTGTGGGATCCGAGCCAGGCGTTGGCGGCACGCCCAGGTGCGGCTTCGGCCGTGCCAGCCGTGCCGACTGCAATACATTCTTCAAAATGAAGTTTCATGGTTTGTTCCTGAATCTGAAAAAGGCCAATGAAGCAATTACGACAGCAAGAGTCCACAACTTGCAGCTGAGATTCAAGTCCCGAAGTTCACTAAGGCTGCTTTCATGTCATTGCCTGCTCGCCGATAGGCCACTGCATGGGAGTACGACCTATTGGAACTCCAAATTCAATCATAGAGTTCATTACTCCAAAGGAAGCAGAAATCTGGACAACAACCCGACTTTAATATACTGCTGCTAACCAGTGCGGAACGAATCCACCTGACCATCGCTTCACGTTAATGTGTCCCATATTACGAATATGGTCCCGTTGTCGAGAAGAAGATGCGGGCAGTAACAACATTTTGTCTTGAGTATTTTGCGTATTAAGTGGTTCCAGAGCTGACGATGACCCCCAGAGCGACTATTGAAAGCGCAAGTTACATTCGTGGAAAATAATTCGTGGCGTTTACATTGTTACTTAATCTAACGAGGTAGCTTGGACAGTGTATTTACTAGTGACACACACACAGGCACCGCTAGTTCGACCATCGATTCCGATTATGTCCAACGTGTGCCCCACAGACTGCATTGTGGGAACAGGGACGGTGATATACGCAGGGGTTTAAAGTGCCCGTAGACTTGCGCTGCATCTACTTCCACTCTCTCCTCCTCCCCCGCCTGGGCCCGGTGTCAAGACAGAGTCAAGAAGACCGGAGACGAGGGAGGCCGCAGGCGGATGGCTCGGACGGATCCTCACCTTGGCGTTCCACCACACCCCCTAATCCATACAACAAATGACCAGGATTTTGACCAACACAAAAGAGATTGGAGGCTGGTAAGGCCGAGGCAGAACCCGGGAGTGCCGCCAACGCCTGGCTCGGATCCCACACTGTGGTGGGAGTGCCATAAAGGCCACATTAAAAAGGAGCCATTGCAGCCTGACTCTCAGACCGCCTTCAGTTAAGGAGGAGGTCCAAGCCACCCCGTAGGTTGGCAACCCTCCAATCCACGGCTTTTAGCGCACCGCGATAGCTTCAAGCGCGTCAGATTGTTTGCAGTGAGGACCAGTGTGCTGAGTATTCGAACTCAGTCTCCCTTCCCATTCCCACACCCCAGCCACCGTCCTAACCGTTTAGCAGACTGTAGTGGGAACTGGGCGCGGTGGCTGGCACGGTGGACTGATCATGCCTGCGTGCGCCACATGCACGACCTGCCTTCCCCCCCCCCCCCCAGACACACAGCAGGATTTCACACAAGGGGGGTTTACCGGCGTGTCTCTAACTTGCGTGAGGTGGCCGTGGAAGGTGCTGTTTTAGCCCGTCCTCAGCCAACCAGTCCGCCACTCCACACAACACACACACAAAGGGACGGACTGCGTGAACCGAGTGGGGCGTCAGTTTGCAGCCTTCCTATCCATGACGCTTGAAGCGTCGAGATAGTCTCAGAGTCAAGTAGCCCGTGCAGCCGAAGCCGCATGCGGGCGGAGTCGAGATGCACACTTCCCACTTGCGTGGCAGGTGTCAGATGGGTGCATGTAGTGGGTGGGTGTTAATGTGCGGTGGGGTGGTAGTGGTGTTTGAAGAGGAGGAGGCGGGGCGGGAGGGTGTTATGATGTGGTGTAGCCGGCGGTTGTCTACCGCAGGTCGTCGTGGATGCGCATGTGGCCGAATATGCCCATGAGATGCCTGAAATTGAAAGAGCAGTGTATGCAGTGGAGGCGAGTGCGGTGAGTGTAGGTTGATGCTCCAGGTACTGGTCCGCCAGACTCTGAGCGATGGATTCGCAAGTGACCGACCAGGCCGATGCGAGATGTGAATGTGCGTGGACAGTGTGGGCAGGTGAGGTCGCAAATATCGGTTTCAGATGCGGGAAGCACGGTGGGCTCGCACTGTGATTAAGTTGAGGTGCAGTTTGACGTGGTGGGTGTGTCGAGGCTGCGGTCAATTCCGTTCTCGTAAATGCGCATGCGACCAAATAGGTCCATGCGATGCGTGAAGGTGTGAGGGCAGTGCGAGCAGTGGAGGAGTGTGCGGTGGGTGTAGGTTGGTGCTCTAGTTACTGGGACGACAGCATCTGTGAGGTGGACTCGCAAGTGTACGATGTGTGAGGTGAATTTGCGGTCGAAGTGAGGACAGGTGTATTCCTGATATTCATCGATGGAGTCGGAGGCAGGGGATGTGGTGTCAGTTTGTGTGTCAGGGTTGTTAATGTGAGTGACGGCTGCC